CTTTTCAGGGCCACCAAGCTTATTACAGTAAAGAGTAGGAATAGAATTCATCTGCCTGTTTGTCCATATTCAGAACCAACGACCACACAAAATGCTCATGTAATCAAACTGGAAGCAGGGGTACAAATTATTTTGATCAACCTTGATCAACTTTGAATCGCCACGGCCGGATATTTTCGATGGAAGAAGCAACAATCTAGCATCTAATTCGACGAAGACGGCAGGAAACATTTGTGAAGCCGAGTTATTTACGAAAGAGAGTGTCGATGAAGAGAATCGATCAATGTTGATAGGACCTATTGAAAAGTGACGCGAGATTTGTTTTCCGTACTGAGCTCCAATGCTACCGACGCCAGGAAGGTAGCTCCCACACCTGGACCCTACCAATCGACCCATCAACTCAACCGGAGACCAACGGCTTTACTTCCCGAAGGAAGGCGTGATCAGAGATGTTATGCCTTAGGCCCAGGCCTGCTGGGGTGAAAGGTAATCCCGCTAACCACCGGCGCCGACATCTTTCAAGGTGATATCACGGCGAATGAGAACGACCCAAATTTGAGTTTAGTTATCTCAGAAATAAGAAATAAAGTGCAGGAACTCAGCGATGAGTAAATTTGCCTCATGTTTTCCCAGGATTTTCCAGGGAAAAATTCCCGAATTTGAGAAAAGTAAAGATTGGATTCACTCAGTCTATTGGTACTACTCCGAGACTGAATAAATTTTTTGTCAATTTCCTCATTTTCTGGCTGATTTTTTAGGTTTTCCACAGGAAACCATGAGACAAATTTACTCATCGCTGAGTTCCTGCACTTTTGGCGATTATGAGTGAACTAAACTCAAATTTGGGTCGTTCTCATTCGCCGTGTACGCAAAAGGAAAAGAGCCAGTGTCGCTACTTGATAGCTAACTACTCATAATGGGAGGAATCTTTGTAGCTTTAATACCACTTGGTTGCACATCATTCCGCTTTAACCTGAAAAGATATAAAAGAGCGCTACTGTATGGCATAAGCTCATTTTCGCTTCGGACGGCGTGGTGAACAGCAATAGCAGCAGTAGGAAGGTGGTGGCTAGTCCACTCCTTCACACCTAACAAGCAACAATTGACTGGTCGTGGCAAAGGAGGAAAAGGTCTGTTAAGGTTCAATTTACTTTGATGCTTTTTGGAAAATTTCAAAAGCAGTTTTTTCCGACGCATTATTTCAGATTGCAAAAAGCTCGCACTATTCGATTCCTTTTAATATTTTACACAAAATGACGCGAGCTTTTTGCAATCTAAAATAATGCGTCGAAAAAAACTGCTTTTGAATTTTTAAAAAATGCATCAAAGTAAATTGAACCTTAAAGGAGGCGCCAAGCGTCATCGCAAAGTTCTTCGAGATAACCGCCATCGGTCGTCTGGCTCGCCGTGGTGGTGTCAAACGTATCTCCGGTCTGATCTACGAGGTGTGCTGAAGGTGTTCCTGGAACATGAGGTCCGTGATGCTGCCACCTACACTAAACACGCCAAGCGTAAGTGGCCATGGATGTCCTCTTCAATAAAACGGCCCTTTTCAGGGCCATCAAGCTTACATCAGTAAAGAGTTGGAATAGAATTTATCTTTGCTTGTTTGTCTATATTCAGAACCACAAGCCCCCAACGACCACACAAAATGCTCTCCAGAGTTGAAATCTTGTAACCAAACTTGGAAGCAGGGGTGCAAGTGATTTTGATTGATTCTCTTAATCAACTTTCTCTTTGAAAAAGATAACTACAAATTTGGTACGCCTACAAATCAAAAACGGAAAGAGTTGAGATAATAGATAATTGATCAATTAAAAGAACTAAATGCTCTTCACATTTATTCCGTTCACTAGCGGTCCTACGTCAAGCCTCCGTTCGTGCCCCTAGGCACAGACCCTTCTACTTTTTTATCTTTGAAATCGGCCCAGTGGTTCAAAAATTAATTTTTTTTTAATCTCCCTAACGTTGAAATGGTCACCCTAATTTCAAAAAAAAAATTGCAATAAGGAACAAATTACTTTTTTTACCATATTCTGAGAAACACTCTATTGTTTTGCTATGGAATGGCTGAATAATAGTAAATTTAGAGACTACACCATTGTTTAATTATGTTTTTAATTAAAACATTATGAAATTTTACAGTACCGAAGCGGGAATCTGACTGTATCATTGAAACTTAGTATTTTGAATACCGTTAAACTGGGTATCTTTGATAATGCGGTAACTTTTCATTTCATTTTCATTTTGCAGCGTTTGGTGGGGCAATGGGAGCGCAAGTCAATCCAAAGCCGAGGATAAAGGACGGGTAATGGCTGAATAGTCTATGCGGACCACTTGAACGCCATGGGAAAAGGAAGGGATTGAAGAGGCCGGTTATTGGGGGGTTTTGAGGAAATGACACATAGTGATGCTAAATGTAAAGAAACCGAAAATCCATCTCCCACTGATTCATCCTTTCACATGTATACCAAATTGATATTTTAAAGCAATAATCAAAATAAACAGACAATACATGAAAAGGCTAGTTGCCAGTTGCTTTAAAGGCTAGTTGCCTCCCTAAGCGGACCCTCCGCATCCTAACTCTTCTGTTAATTCACTGAATGCTACTAGACTGTCTAAATTTTCTTATTTAAGTTCGTTTGATGATTGTGATATCTCTAGTCTAATTTAATAAATAATTGAAATCTCTAATCTACCTACCATGCTTAATTAAGTACCTGCACTTGTGAGTATAATCTAAAATTTAACGTGTTTCAAGTTTTTTTGGCTTTGACCTATATTTAATATATATTAGTTCGTCCAAGGTGACAGCTTCAAGTGACTAAAATGCTTCACTTTGAAGTTAGTTTCCTAGCTGATTTTTAAATTGCATAGGGTATATGCTTCAACTACGCTCACACGTTTCCACTATGTCGCACCACAAAAATACGTATGGTTATGTCACAATAGAAGCACGCCACAGTGGAAATCTCGAGCCATAGTTCAAACACTTATCCCAAATCAAAATGAAGCACATATAAGCAGGGTTGCTTCTACTCACTTGCTATAAAAAAATATTTTTCGGAATTCTGCAATCATTAGATGTTATAATGATATGTTGTACATGTAAGTAACAAGAAGAGGGTGTAAAGTATGTGTTTGATTTATAAAACCTATCAATTTCGCTTTCAGAGCGTCACAATCTGCGATCTTATGATTCGTGAGCGTTCACTCAGAGTGAGCGCTCACGAGTCGTAAAATCGCTGATTGTGACGCACTGAAAGCAATATTGACAGATTTTATGTGTCAAACATATACTGCATGACCTCTTCTTGTAACTTACATGTATAACATATCATTATAACATCTAATGATTTCATAATTCCGAAAAACATTGTTTTATAGCAAGTGAGTGGAAGTAACCCTGCATATAAGATTAGTTGCAATACCATGTACAAAAATGGTGTTTAACATTGTTCCCTGAGTAATACCTCAATGAAAACAACAACGAAAGCTTGTCACGCAAGTAGAAGGAGCACTGTTGGGCACTTTCTGAAATATTTCAATAGTATAATTCCCTTGCAAACCCAAATAAATCTATCTGCGTAAAAATTAATAAAATAAGAGTGATTTGCGGCAAAACCCGCCAGTATCGCACCCAACGTCAGTGCCTATACGTAAGCGTACTACAACGCGGCTTTCAACTAAAGGAGTAACAAGTGTGATACTATCACTTCAGGCTAGAACTTTGGTTCTCTTATGCAATGGTTCATCAGAGAGGGGAAGCTCAGTAATCCTCATCGCATGCTCATGACGCTATTCTGTCACGGCATGAGCCAACGATGCCGAACCTAAACCAACCGTCTCCAACGCTCCACTATGAAGCATAAGATTAGGCCCGCCCACCAACGTCCAGGTTAAAAAACTAGCCAAGGGGAGTTGATAATGCGGTAACTTTGATAGTATAATGCAAAGATTAAATTTACTCGCTGCGCTTTTTCCAGATTAGAAACATTGGTTCCATATTGTAGCTTAGGGTATTTCCGTTGAAATCGTATAAAGTTTTTATCTAGTATGTGTTACATATTTTACAAACATATTAAAAAACAATTCTCATGTTTTCGCCTGTTTGAAAAAGCACTCAAACCATCACTTATGAAATGTATTTCCGATATAGCCATCGCAAATTCAATGTTGTATTCTTATTGCTTTTGTTGTTTTCTGATTATATACTAATTCAAAGTTTCATATTTAAAGAACTAAATTGATTAAGTCTCACCCATACTTTTCTGCATTCAAAGTAACCCCAAATAAAAAAGCTGAAGTTCTGTCACAAAACTAACAAAAAATAGTGCGAATGCTTTAATTTCCGTTAAACATATTACTAACAAATTGACTCTTGGATCCTCAGTACTTGTTTTAAAAATATAAAATTGGAAAAAAAACATTCATTGAGGTAAAAATAATTTTTTAGTATACTTTGCTAAATTATCAGTGTTACCTCGTTTTAGGTAGTTTAATCCCCTTTTGAATCATTTTCAGCTGAATTTGTTTCGATCCGTAACAGTTTTGTATCGTCAATAGTCCGTATACGTCTTTGTAAACGGCTAAGTATACTTCAAAACACTTTTTCTAAAAAAAAAACCCAAGATGAAATATTTTAAAACCTTCACCGATTTGATTTTTAGGATCAATACTAACTTCCTGTGAAGAAAAAGCTGAGGTACATGAAAGTTGCAAAAAAAGTGCCTTCAGACATAGCGTGGCGGCATCACAAATAAGGCATGTTGGTGACTAAGAACTCCACGCATGGAGTATCTGTATTTGCATGCATGTAATATTTCTGCTTTTGAGCAAAATGTCGAGTAGCAGCACTATTAACATCTAAAAATTTTCCTTTTCTTTCCAGCAATTTTTTTTCAGAGTCAAATTCGAAGTCCCAGAACCTCGACCGCAATTAAGTCTATTCAGTGCAATGCAATCAAGAATGATCATAAAATCAATGTTTGTAGCCTTACCTGTATCCGCGCTTCAGTCAGTCCAATTTTCATTGCTAGCTCTTCCCTGCAAATGATAGAGAAAAAACATTAAATAACATCATTTAAAATGCGTCACTTCATCAAGTTCTGCGCTTTATAATAAGCAATAAAACAACTTCCAATCATCACCTGCTGCCCGCTCAAGAACGACCCACCACCGCCGTCGCCGCCGTCATCAAAAGCAATCAACGTTCGTCATCTATCCAAGCCCATAAAACACAAACACACACACACACAGAGAGCGAAACCAATGATCTAGGACGAACGCCAAGCAAGTACCTACCTTCCAACAGTACGACCTCGAAAAATCAAACCCCCCGCTTCTCGGTCATAAATCCATTAGCCGGTCGATTATAAATTCAAAACTAATAAATTTGCCTAATGAGATGAGTCCAGCAATAAATTCATCATCGTGCGCGGAATAATGCGTCGTTGTGAAGCTGGAACAGGGGAAGGGGGATTCTTGTTAGAATCAGCCTCGAACAAAAACCGAAAATGACATTATCACTTTATTAAAAGTGATTCCTTTTGTCTGTCCTCGCGTTTTTTTTGTTTTCGAAGCCGCATCCCTCTCGGGTCGTAAATTCGAAGATTTTTCCCCAAAGCCCACAGAAACAACAGCGAAGGGTATTAAATTATGAGTATTAAATTAAATGTTCAAAATTTATTAATCTTGTAGTTTGTTTGTCGCGGAGCTTTTTGTGTCCTCCTTTCAAAACAGTTTTGATTTCTGTCGTGGTGTAGCTAATGCCGAGCAGGAAAACAAAAACGCTTGCCATGTTTAGCTGATTATTTATATTCGTCCGAAAATCCCGTAATCCTTTTACGGGTCTCAGCTCGGGGGGAGTGCCGCGAGTTTTATGTATGTTTTAATTTTTACGCATTATCAAAATTAAAAATCGCGTGAACCGTGAGGATGATGAGCTGTTTCAAATATGCAATCCCGTTAAAGCGACTTTTCCATTCCAACGTAATCAAAATTGCTTAAGTTGGGGTTATTGCTTGACCCGGCTTAAAATCCGTCTTAAAATATTCATAATCTCCGCCTCTACTCGGCACAATCGAAAGCTATAATTGATAGACAGCAACCTTAGCCTGTGGATCAAAAGTAATCAAAAATGCTAAATTAAAGCTTCACCACCCTTTTTTTCCCTCCGATACGATGGAACTCAAAACAAACAGCCCCAAGCCGGTGGAATTAACTTCAAATTACTATTATCAAAAGCCACAAGTTCACAACACGCTGACAGACACACTGTTCGTCAAACGTGTGGAGTGAAAAAAAAAACCCACAAAGGTCAACCCATTCTTGACACTACTTTACACAGCAGAAGAAGAGAATGTATAAAAATAGCATTGTGCTATCCATCCGTGTTGGCCACAGGTCGGAAAGTGTATAATTTAATGTTGACTTTCTGCGGTGTAATAACTTTTGTCATCGGAGCATAAAATTACCCCCGCAGCGGAGTGCCACTCGCTTCAGAAACACTTGCCACCGTCGTAGTTTGTATCAATCGTCTTTAAAACCCATACACATTTATAATGTAATCGATGTGGTGGAGCAAAAACCACATGTTACTGCGAGGTAGAAATGTTTAGGTTAATCATTCAATTTAATTGAATGGAGGAACAGCAGTTAAAATTAAAAATACCGCGCAAACATTGTGTCAGGCAGCCTAGTTATTGATTTCACGTATTGTTTCAACTTGGTATCCTATGTACCTACCATCGAGTTTGTTTGAAAGAATCATAACCAACCTAGCCACCGGCCTTCGCACTAGCCCCCTCACAGTTTGTATTATAGCTTGTCGAATTCTACCGTCCAACCCCTTGATTGTTTGGACAATACGATCACTCTCATTGTCCACTCGTCCCTTCTGGCATCGCCAACTACCAACACCAATTCTCCTTCAACTACTGGCTTCATCTCACCGCACCACTTCGGACGTTTAGTCAAAGTTGGGAGATACTCCGTGATCCATCTTCTCCAAAAAAAAACGTCGAGCTGCTGTTCAATCTGACCCCACGAGGATCGTAGAGCGTTGCTGGAACTGCCGGTTGTCTAACGCCACTTGAGCTTCCCAAAAGGAAGTGATTTGGCGTGAGGGATTCGTGTTCCTCCGACGACTGTTTACAACCGCTTCAGCTTCCACCATAAAGGTCTCCAACGCCTCGTCATCTGCCTTGCGGTTGTTATTGTACGCCATTTCCACTGCAGCTTTGATGGATCGCACCATCTGCTCCCGCGCTCCGCCCATATGTGGGGCTCCAGGAGGGTTGAAGATCCACTTGGTGTTAGTGCCCGTGAACGTAACGGCTAGCTGCTCGTTCAGCTCCTTCAGCAGTCTATCGGCGCCTTGAAAGTTGGTGCCGTTGTCCGAATAGATTTCGGCCGGACGACAGATGAACCGCCGTATGCACTTCACACAGGAGTCGGTGGTGAGGTTGTGAGCGACTTCAACATGTACTGCACGTATGGTAAAACATGGGAATAAAGCTACCCATCGCTTTGCGTTACTCCTTACAATTTTCACCGTCAATTTACTTACTTACTTAAGGGTCCTGTGCACCACCAGCGGTGCAAAGGGCCAACGTGAAAGACTTCCATCCTGGGTTGCTGCTCGCTTTTGCCTTGACCTGGGCCCAGGTCAGATTTCTATCGACTTGCTTAATTTCCTTATTGAGGCTCCGCCGCCATGAGCCCCTGGGTCTGCCTCTGCTGCGATGTCCTGCTGGATTCCAATCCAGCGCTTGCTTGCAGATTTCGTTTCCGCCCCGTCGAAGTGTGTGGCCAACCCACCTCCACTTTCGCTCTCGAATTTCTGTTGCTATCGGCTTCTGATGACATCGACGATGGAGCTCGGCATTCGAGATCCAGTTGTGAGGCCACCAGGCACGAATTATATACCGCAGGCATCGGTTGATGAAGACCTGCAGCTTTTGAGTGTTCTCCGCTAATACATACCACGTCTCGCTGGCGTATAACAACACAGATTTCACGTTCGAGTTGAAAATTCGGATTTTGGTGCGTTGACTTATCTGGTTGGATCTCCATACGTTTCGTAAACTCGCAAATGCAGCCCTAGCCTTCTTGATTCGTGCACCTTTGTCGCTCTTGGTCCCGCCGTCCGACGCTATTTGGCTGCCAAGATATTGGAAACTTTCGACCTTCTCCACTGCTTGCCCCGCTACCGTAAAGTTGGAAGGGTTGCCCGTATTGATATCCAACGATTTGGTCTTGTTGACGTTGATGGTGAGACCCGCCGCAGAGGAGCGTTCGGCTAGGTCATTGAGCTTACTCTGCATATCAGAGCGCCGTTGTGCTAGTAGAGCAACATCATCAGCCAAATCGAAGTCGTTGAGATGCTCCATGGTGATAGGTTGCCAAAGCAGCCCACGGTTCGGTACACGGTCAATTGCACCTACCATGATCTCGTCGATTACGATGAGAAACAGTAGTGGTGATAGTATACATCCTTGTCTCACACCAGCGACTACCCGGATAGGGTCGGAAAAGGCTCCGTTATGCAGAACTCTGCACGTGAAAGCCTCATACTGCGCTTCGATGAGGTTGACGATTTTATCCGGGACTCCCTTGCGTCTCAGGGCGCCCCACAGATTCTCGTGATTGAGACGGTCGAAAGCTTTTTCGTAGTCAATGAATACCAAATAAAGGGACTCTTGGAATTCATTGACCTGCTCCAGGATGATGCGGAGCGTGACAATATGGTCCACACAAGACCTTCTGGCACGGAATCCTGCCTGCTGCCGTTGGAGAGTCGCGTTGATCTTCTCCTGTATCCGATTCAGGATAACTTTGCACAGAACTTTGAGAACAATACACAGTAACATGATGCTTCGCCAATTGTCGCACACAGTCAGGCCCCCCTTCTTTGGGACCTTCACTAAGATGCCCTGCATCCAGTCGGGCGGAAAAGTCGCGGTGTCCCAGATATTACAGAATAGTTGATGCAACATTTGTGCGGATAGCATGGGGTCAGCTTTGAGCATCTCTGCTGATATGCGATCGACCCCTGGAGCCTTGTTGGATTTCATGCTTCGGATAGCTGCTTCAATTTCCTGCAGTGATGGGGCCTCGGAATTGACGCGAGTGATGCGCCGCACCCTAGGCGGATCATGCCGAGATGTTGATGGCTGGTTGGCCGTCGAAACTTGAAGAAGTTGTTCGAAGTGCTCAAACCAGCGTTTCAGCTGGTCAGTGGGGTCGGTAAGCAATTGTCCAGTCGTGTCCTTCACTGGCATCCTCGGGTTCATCCTTGCTCCACTCAGGTGTCGTGAGATATCATAGAGGAGGCGTATATCGCCAGTGTTTGCGGCTTTCTCCCCTTCGTCGGCCAGGGAGTTCACCCACGCTCGCTTGTCCCGTCTGCAAGAGCGCTTGACTTCCTTCTCTAGAGCCGAGTACCGTTGACGGACTTCGTTCTTGGCTCCTCTGGTTCTCGCCCGCTCTATCGCGGCTTTTGCTTCTCTACGCTCCTCAATCTTCCACCAGGTTTCATCTGTGATCCACTCTTTCCTCTGGGTGCGCAGCTCACCCAAGTTGTTCTCGCTTGTTTCTATAAAGGCATTCTTGATGGCCGTCCATTGTTCTTCTACGCTGCCACCTTCTGGAACGTCCGCAGCTCGAGTCTCAAGTTCATGAACAAAAGACCTTTTTACCGCTGGATCTTCAAGTCGGCGTGTGTTGAACCGCCGCCCGAGTCTCTCCTCCCGTCGCTGGATCCGCGCCATGCGTAGGCGGATTTCACCGATTAGAAGGTGATGGTCAGACGCGATGTCGGCGCTGCGTTTATTCCGGACATCAAGAAGGCTCCGTCTCCATTTTCGGCTGATGCAGATGTGGTCGATCCGATTCTCGGTATGTCCATCACGGGAAACCCACGTGACTTTGTGCACTGGCCGATGGGGGAAGAGCGAGCCCCCGATCACCATGTCGTTATTGCCACAAAATTCTGCAAACAGCTCACCGTTCTCGCTCATTTCGCCGAGACCATGGCGTCCCAT